GGGGGAGGAGGACCGGATCGTGGTCTGCAGCTACGGGCGGCGCACGCCTCTGCGCCTGGAAGGGCAAGCAGCAACGCCGACGGTTGTTGCAGCAGCTTCGGACGCTACTGCTGCTGCCGGGTAAGGCAGCGGTCGCCGCCCGGCAGCGTCGGCCGCTGGGCGATAGCCCTTCCGAGGGCAGCTGGCCCCACAGGCCATAATAAACAAAAAATAATAATAATAAATAAATTGAATTGAATTAGGGTTTCTTAGTTAACGGGTAAAGGAGGTTGTAGGCGGGGGCCTCGTTGCAATTAATGTGATTGAAGGCCCCCGTATGCAATTATGTAGAAAGGGGGTCAAATGCAATTTTTTAAAGGAGGACCTATTCTGCAATTTGCGAATTTGGAAGGTCTTGCTCATAATTTTTCAAAAAGGATTTGGATTGCAATTTTAAAAAGTGTTTTAAAATTGAAGTAAATTGGGTTTGACTCATATTTATTAATTTGGCCCAAAGTGAAGTTTTATTTAAAATTGACGACTTTCATATTTTTGTTAAAATTGGTTTTTAACTTAAATGTTAAACTTTGACCCCAATTAAATTTTATTTTATTTAGGAGTGTTATCCTAGTTTAAAATATTGATTCAATTTAAATTAGAGTTAGACTCTAATTTAGGACTTAATTAAAATTCGATTTTAATTAATTTTTCACCCGAAGATATTCTTGAAGTTAGAATTAGATTCTAATTTGATATTTAATTAAAATTTAATTTTAATTAAATTGTCCCGCCCTAAAATTTCATTTAAGATTATAATTAGACTCTAATTTGTTGTTTAATTAAAATTTGATTTTAATTAAACAGGTTCCCCTAATATCTTATTTAATTAAAATTTGATTTTAATTAAAATAAGTTCGCCCTATATTCTTAGAATTAGAGTTTGACTCTAATTTTGTTATTTGATTAATATTTGATTTTAATCGCCTTGAATTTTGAAATTAGAATTGGACTCTAATTTGATATTTAATTAAAATTTGATTTCAATTAAATAATCCACCTATAATTGTAAAATTAGAGTTGGACTCTAATTTGATATTTAATTAAAATTTGATTTTAATTAAATATGCCCGCTAATTAAATTAATTGATTAATATGATTAATCAATTATTTAATTGTTCCAATCCATATGTCTAAAAGAGTTTAGATGAATTACTTGCTAGAAACTTGAAACATGTTAGGATATAATATTAGATATTATATATACATACATTTATGTGATGAATGTATTATTAGTGGATGATTATGGACTCGACCATATGAATGTATTGAATGGTTGATTTTTATTCTTGTTGTTTTGTGGGCCTACGAGCTCGTTATTATCGTTATTATTTTGGGTCTGTGAGCTCTTGATCATTTTGGACTTGAGAATCCGTTATTATTATTGTTGCTATGGGCCTGCGAGTCCAATTTCATTTAGGCCTGCGTACCAACTAATATAGGATACAGGTTGCAATTAGATTAATTGAAGAAACAAGAAGAGGAGGAGATCATGGATATGACGCATTGATATTGATCAGTGCAATACCCCCTAGGAATTGACCAACTAGTCTTCCTTATGGCTAGGGAAGACTAGAAAGTAAAGTTCATAATCGCCCATACTATTATATTATATTTATTTATTTATTTGCATGATAAATGTATAATAAAATATATATTACTGTTACAATGAGACTTTTGAATTCAAAATCCCTCCATAAAATATTGAACCACATTTATAATTGTCTTCCATCATTATAGTGAAAAACAAGAGTCCCAAATCGCCTCAACTTGTTGAGTACACTCAAGGTTGGTCTATTAGGGATATGTTGACACTATGAATTATTAGATATTTCTGAATGACGGGTTTGACTTAACTAAAATTTATCTTTTGTTGAGTACACTCAAGGAAATAAATTTTAGAGGTATGTTAAGCTAACACATAAGATGTATGAAAATAAAGAGTTGTCAGCTTAATGATCTGAAAGTTGTATGCAGATACAATTGATAATAGTATCTTCCCAAATGTTATATTAAGGCGTGTTGAGTACACTCGAGGTCTTAATATAATAGATGAGATCTCAATCCACTGGGAGTCAAGTATGGACTCCATAAATTCATGTAAGAGGGCCATAAATTTGTATTAAACAGTGAGAGTATAATTAATTTAATAAAAGTCCATGTTAAATTAATTGATGCATTTTGTATATTATTCTCTTTCTTTTCGTCATTTATATTTATTGAATCGTGAATAACTATGTGTATCTGAGAGGCATATTGGATGCCAACAACCAAATTAATTCTTCTTGATTGGCACTGCAATTTGAGAATTGTTTTCAGGCATAAGAAAGTTAGTTGTCCTTCAGTAGCCATTTTCCAGTAACACCTGATGATAATTAAACTAAAGAAAATGTGGCTACCATGATAAATACAGTGATGAGATAGTATTGTACACACGTGATGCTTGCAACTATGTCACTGAGTTACAAAAGGACTTGAGAGTATAGATGTTAACACATAATTCTTCATTACAAAGAGATGTAAGATAATAATCGTGTGTGGAAGGATATGAGACTTCCGAACAACTATATCGGTGCAAAATGACAGAGTAATCTTCAATCGATACTTAAACACTGAAGATGATTGACGTTGAGAAATGTCTCAATTGAGTTCAATCATAAACCATGAACTAAGTAGTGACTTGGTTTTGCAATCTCTATCAGAGAAAGTTATTCATAATTATGAATTTAACGTGAATAAACTTGAACGCACAATTATTGAGTTGCTTATCATACTTAAGACTGTTAAGCCCAACATCAAAGTTAGTGGTGGGCAAGTCATTGATTCTTCTAAAGATGTTAAGAGGAAGTCTAAAGAGGCTTTGTGAAAGCGTCCAATATGGTTAAGACCATCAAAGCGAAGGACAATATCAAATCTAATGACCCTTGATTTCATTATAGAATG